GGAAGACTTGTGGAAGTTGGGTCCTTAATGACACCAAACAAGAAACATGCTGTGATAGGAAATGGCTTTGCAGTCTGTTCAAAGCATGTTAATTCCCGTGAGCACAGTCTCTAACACCCTGCCTCCTGAAGCACTTACACCAAGCTTGCCAAAGTGTTCCCTAATGGTTCACTCCCACTTTTTTGGGGTTGCACTAACATCATTGTGGGCAGCAACTCACTTTTCATTGTGTGCATATAGGCTAGTATCCAAAATAAACCATTACCAGGAGGCATCTCCTAGACAAATGACTATATGGGCCCACCAACCAACTCCTCCCTGCCACCCTTTACTAGAATCATGTTTGAACTGAATCTGACTGTGAAAGGAGGAGACAGCAATGGTTTGGCATCCCTTCAAAAGTGACCTTATCCTCTGGCTGTCACTTAACTCCCTGCCACCAATAGTCTTCAAGTTCTTCCTTTCTCAACCTCCTGCAGTGAGAAGTGGACATAGCTTACTGGTGTTTCTGGTATGTGTCCTGTCAAAATGTCACACTTGATTTATTTGTGACTTCTCCCATGGTCTCTCCAACATACTTAAAGAATCTCACTAGATACATGGCTAGTTTGGGAAAGATACATGTACAATAAATACCAGGAAACAAGTATATTCCAAACCTCCAAATGGTAACAGAACTTTTAAAGGTTTACAGGACCACAGCACATGTCTAAAACAAATCCCAGATCAAAAACATATGAGAGGGGTTTGGAATAGCTTAGCTCAGGGATGTCAAACTCATCAGGCCCCATGAGCTGGATGAGTGGTGCTGGGCTGGTCCTGTGTGGTGCCACAGACACCATGTGCCCTGGACTGGCCTGAGTACAGCCAGAAACATGAACCCTGAACTGGCCTCACGTATTAGCTGCAGCTCACACCAGACCAGCCCCACACTTCCCATGTAATGTGCAGGGCTGGTCTGGTGCATGCCTCAGCTACGCATAGGTGCCATGTGAGACCCATGGACTGCACTGGGGGCCAGATGACAAAGCTCCATGGGCTGGATCTGAGTCTGTATCTTTGACACCCCTTTCTTAGCTAATGGAGCATGCACCGTGGGCCGAGATCAAGTACATCTAAAAATCCCACCGACAGCACGTGCTTTTGTTTAAAACATTTGTGTATTGTCCTGTAATACTAATTTGTTTTGGCCTATGCACAATGTCACTTGCAATCCCTGTACCGCATAAATTATCAGCTCCATGTGTCCTTTACCAGGGCTGAACTTGAGGACCCGGCTCTTTGGATAGTAGTCAACTCCAGACTGAGCTGAGCCATCACGTGTGCTGCATCGGACCTTTGAGGTCCTGTTCAGGTCCCCTCTCCTGACCACTTTGATGTTCAAAATAGCAATGCCTTCGGGGCCAGGAGGTTCCCGGACTTGATAGGCAGTCTCTTCAAACTCAATGGTGGGTGCTAGAGAAATGGTATGAAGAAAATAAATACACAGCTATCATACTTTAATAAATAATAGATACACAGTCTGCCTTACCCAGGGGCTGAGCTTATAGTCTAGACAGGGTTGTTGGGAGCTCTGCTGGTTGCTGGACTTCGAAGGTGAGCTTCAGGCTGCACCACCACTAAAGAGTATGGCTGGCTTGTCCCAGCTTTGCACACTCACTACATTTCTGTATTGTGGACAGCTAGTTGTGTAGTGCAGTATTGTGAACACATACACTGGCTTTTCCATCAGACTTGGAATTAGTTTTGTATGTGATGAATCCAATTGAACATAGCAGCAATCATCAAGTCAATTCAGTCATTTAATCAAAGGTAGCTTACATGTCATGGGCACTATACAGGTTTGGTGTAAATGGGTGAAACTGTTGGAATTGGACCAGCTTCTTCTAACAGGGACTATTCTCTCTTACCATCTTCATCATTGGAAACAGTAATGGTGGCCATGGTGTTCTTTCCCATTCTAGCTCCACTCCAGTGGTTTCCCATGGGGCTGCCAAGATAGACCCTGAACTGTTCCTCTGGCTCAAATGCAGAGTCATCATTAATGTAGACAGTGCAGTTTTTCACCTAAAGCCAAGCATGCCATCTGTCAGAAAGTAGCAGTAATTCCTTTGAACTTAAACAGAAAATCACAATTGTTTCCTCATCATTTAGTGTTTTTTACCATGGTGCATTCAATGGTAAAAGACACTTTAGTAACTGAAGTCTGGCAAGCTACATGTGGACATTCAAATGCAGTTATATGATAAAACATTGATGTACAAAAGTAACAACTCTGACTCCACACAGCTAGCTTTGTATGGATTTCAAGGCTACGTGCTCCAAAAGCACTAGCAATCATTCTAGATATTGATACATTAGGCTTGTTTTTCATGTGCTAACTAGTGTCTACCTGCCTACAGATTCATACTTCAAGAACAACCCAAACCCAGCATGGGAAGAGGATGTGCCCTGAGGAATTAGCTCTGGAAAAGCTTCAGTTGATAGGCAGCCAAGGAGAACATCAAGGTTTTCCAAACTTCCTCTGCCAGTCTCTTTTTGCTGTCCCCTGACCTGAGCAGGTTCAGCTCACCTTCTCCCCTTTCAGGAAGGTGATGCGAGAGTCCTCTGCATCTCTTCTCTCCTCAAAGTCCTCCATGACTTCTGCCGTTTGACTCCGGGTGTAGCATCTGACAGAGGACTCATAGCTCAGGTCTCCACTACGGATAACAGGAATATGCAGGACACCTTCCTTCTCCTTTACCGTGTACAAGTCCTTGCCAAACTGCATGTTGGGTACTACAACAAGAGAACTACCATTACTGGGTTTAAAATGTCCAGCTTAGGCCTGTAACATACTGATAAACTGCTGTGTGCAGTGTGCCAGCAACCAAATGGGATTTCAGAGGACGTACTTCAGTTGTGCCTGGACAGAGAATTCTTGTTCTTGCCCAACCAACTGATGGCTATTTCCATTGCTCCTTTCTCAGGAGGATGGGAACTGGAGAGTATACTGCCCTTGGTAAAGAAGCAAGTCTCTCTCTCTACTAGCCCTTAGAAACCCAAACAGAAAGTCACTAGACCTGTTTACTGTCCCCAGTATTTTCTTTTTGCCTGACTTAAGCTCCTATTTTACCTGCATCGGAGAAGTAGATATGTATATCTCAGGGCTTGGCTGAGCTGTATAAATACTGCAGGGGCTGCAGTGGCACAGCTGCACCCCTCTTTTTGGAGTGGATCAAACCATGGGAGCTTTTGGGGACTTTTTCAAGTTCCTAAAGCAGGTGAAAATACTGTCTCCCTCCCCCTGCCTGCTCAAAGAAACACCCACTGTCCGCCACTTTCCCCATCCTCACCACTCCCCCACCCTCATCCTGCCTTTCCTTGATGTCCTGAGGACAGAGAAGCACCAGAGTCATTCCTGGCAGCTGCACAGGGGTTGAGCTCAGATGGGGATGGGGACAAGGGCAGCTGGGGATGGACAGGGATTCTCCTTCCCCGTGCTGTGACTGGGCAGGGTGGGGGGAACTCTCCAGTCACCCCGTTGCCACAGTCCCCTCCCCAGCTCAGCCCAGTCCCAGCTCAGCCCTGTTGGTGCTGAAACTTCCCTGCCCTTCAGCTGTGGAAAATGCAGCAAGGACAGGTTGGAGAGTCGGGGGGCAGGGGTGGGGGGATTGAGGGAAAGTGGAGGGGAGGGTACAACATCTGAGCAAGGAAGGGAAGGGAAGAGATATTTTTACCTGCTTTAGGGCATTAAAACCTCCCCAGAGGCTCTGATAGCTGCTCTTGCTGGTGGGGCAGAGGAGGCTGGGAGCAGGGGGAGCAGCCATCCTTGCAGTGTGGGTTGCTGCTTTTGAACCCCACAGTGCTGGACCCAGGGTGTGAGGCACAGGCAGCTGAGAGCTCCTGACTCCCCAGCTGCTCATGCCCTACATTGTTAAGTGATGCCTGCTGTTGATGAGCGGAGCTCCCAGCTCCCCATCTGTCTCTTCCATACATATCCCGGGGACTAAAAAAGGGAAGTGTGCAGCTGGGGTTTCCAGATACATGCCTGCTTTGTAAAGGATCGGGGTGCACTGAGCCTGAGATCAATGAGGCACTCCCTGATATTGGGCTCAGGGAGCTCCCCATCTGTCTCTGGGGATTAGACAGGGGCTCTGGGTCCAGGACCTGACACTGCTTCTAGCCTGATCCCAATGACTGGGTTAGGGATGGCTGTGTCCTGGACCCTGGGGCTGTCCCATGCTGGATCCCTGCACTCAGCTGAGCATCAGGATTTGTCATGGCTTTATCCCGATGGCACAAGTTCAGTTCAAGGAACTTGTTATATGCCACACTGTGAGCTGCTCAAATGTTGATGGGTATTAATGCTATCTTGAGTTTGGAGCAGCCACACATTCAGGCCAGTAGAGGCCTGGAGGCCCGTCCCATTCTGAGCTTCCCCCTGGGGCTCCCCCTCTGCCTCCCCTCCCACTTACTTGTGGCTGCCCATGGTGTCTGTCCCAGGGGATCAGGCAGGGAAGGGTTAACCTGCCTGCCCAATGCCCACCCTCCCACTGCTGAGCTGCTGCTCTTCTCTGGGCTGAGCCCAGCCCAGACAGCAGGAGTGGCAGTGGTGGCCAGGCAGGCAGGTTAACCCTTCCCTGTCTGCTCCCCCAGGACAGATAGTGCAGGCAACCAAACATAACTGGAGGGGTAGGGGTGGCAGACCTAGGGGGGATAGTTAGTGGAGTTGCTGGGGATGGCAGTGGGAGCACTGGCTCCCTACAAAGTGCTTAAAACTAGTTTCAGGCGTTAATATGTGGACAATCAGGGTTTAAGAGCTCTAGGAGTTGCCTAAAATTAATGTTTAACAAGGCCCTAAGACAGAATACAAATGAGCCAAATCATGTTGTACATTATATGTGGAATAGCTTTGTGGCTCATTTGCTATATTATCACACCACAAATTGGCCTTATCGTGTGCCCAGGTTACTATTTATCATACATTAATCATCTCTTAAATGTAGCATGTGCCAGAGCACTTATTCCTATGCCATGCTAAGTAACACCTTACTCTGGGTAAAGCACTTATGGGACTATACAAGGAGGAAAGTGCTATTCATTTTGAGCCAAGTGAGAAAGCCTGGCTGAAAACAAGAGAAGCAAACAGGAAATTTAGTTTGTTTCCAAAGACTATAATATCTTGTGGACAAAGCAGCCAAGGAAAGAAACACAGGGCACCCAATATGGAACATGTTTTAATTAGTATATATGGACTGAATTCAACCAGGGTATAATTCTATAGGCTCCAACTTATCTTCGTGCACAAGGAAAATATAATGGCAGGTGACACAATAGATTGGGTACAGACTGACTGCACAGCTTACCATCTTGGAAGATGTCATTAATGGCCACAATAGCTTGGAAAGGTTTAGTCAATTCCGCCCCTTGGGGTGAGCTCAGATATACAACAAAAGTCTCCAGCCCTTCAATCACTGGGTACTGAGCATCATCCAGGATTGTCAAGGTGCAATACTAAAGGAAGAGGAAAATTCTTGTGTTACTGCAATACCAAACCTGCTGTGATTTTGGTCAAAAGGAGAGAATAGTCATCTCAGGCTGAGTCTCGGGCTGAGTAATGTCACTAATTCTAGGTGCCTAAGCCTCAACAGCTCTTTCAAACACAATGTTCTCCATATCACAGAATAACAAAATGCCTTTACCCTGGAAGAGGTGCATTTAACTGTGGCATCTACAGCTACAACGTCAACTTTGTTCTAACAGATTTCTATTCAGGCAAAACACCTGATTCGTCTGTCCATCACAGCAACTCCCATGGTCCCCATGATGATAGTATCTGATGGACTAACACTCCTTGATGCATTTTCACAACATCTCTCTGAGATTAGGATGTGCTGTCATCCCCATCTTTTTGAAGGAGAACTGAGGCACAGAGAGACTAAGTGGATAACCCAAGGTCTTAAAGGCAGTCTGTGACAGAGGAGGGACTTGAGCTCTGAGCTCTAAACAGGGCATTTTTACATGCGTTTCTGACACTGGGTGCTTTTAATTAACAAGCTATGCTAGTTAAAAGCAACCACGCATCATGTGCATCGGTGGCGCAGTGTGCCTCCATGCTGAGAAAATGGCAGCGGTGCACTCTGAACTGCACATCAAATGTGTTTTAGTTCAACAAGCACCACTGCCGTTTTCTCAGTGCGGAGGCATGCTGCATCACTGATACACATGATGTTCGAGGCTGCCAGAGCACAGCAATTTACACGGATTTCCAGAGCGTCGGAGCAGGCTCCCTGTATGTATGTAAGTGCCCTAAAATCCTAAACTAGTGTCTTAACCAGTCATACAACAGCCTGTTGTATTACCAGTTTCACACAGCAGGGCTCAGAACTACATTTGCTGAATGTTCATACTGGTAAGACACTTTTCTGTAACTTTCATCTTTCTTTACCCCACCTCTTCCCACTAGGCTCTAAACAGTCTGAGCCCTCCATACCTAAGGGATCGTCTGCTTCCCTATGCCCCAAAACAATCCTTAAGGTCAGCTGACAGCAACTTCCTGCAAGTACTTTTAGTGTGCCAAAACCACCTGGCAAAAACATGTGGGAGTTCATTTTCAACAGTTACTCCTTAGCTCTGGAACTCTCTCCCTCTTGAGGCCCACCAGAGCTGGAGCCTGGACATCTTTTGGAAGCACTGCAAGACTTTCAGATTTGGGCAGGTATTCACCAAACAAAGCTAGGACGAGATGTTTTACCCCTTTTATCTTGATGTTCTAGTTCCCACTGAAGTTGCCCACTCTTGTCACTCTCCTCTTTTTAAGCTACCGTATTCACTCAAATCTAAGACAAGGCTTTTTTCCCCAATCAGCATGGTGGGGGAAGCCCCTCATCTTAGACTAGTATACAAAAGCACAGGAGGGAGGCAGGTGGCTGCTGTGGCTTTGAGCTTAGATCAGAGCCAGAGTCAGACCCAGAGCAGCTTCCTGCCCTGGCCACCTCCACATGCCTCTGCAGCTTCTGTGCCTCCCTTCTGCCCTCCTCAGTCTCCCCACCCATACTGTCAGGCACAGCTCAGCTCCAGCTTAGGCTAGGTACGCTCCCAGACATGGAGCACATGGAAACTCTGTCCCCTCCCTGGCCAATCAGCAGTGCTGACACTGCTGCATGGCCTGGCAAGGGCTGAGCTTCCACGCTGTGCTCCAGGTAGGAAGAGATCCAAAGCTGCACCTGACAGTAAGGAGTGGGTGATTGGGGGAGAGAGGCAAAGACTGCAGGGACCGGGTGGGAAGAGGCAATGACTGTGGGGAGCTGCTGAGGACAGGATGCAGGTAGGATAGGAAGGCTGCAGGGGGAAGAAGTGGGGAGGGGCAAAGGCCCACCTGGCCCTCCCACCGCTATTTTCCCTGCTGTGGGAAGGGGGGCAAATTCAAAACAACCATATGATAATTAAATTCTATACCTGGAAAATTATACGAAATTTATACATTTCCCATATATACAATTTAATTATGGGGGGTCATCTTAAATTCAGGTAAATACAGTAATCAGTATTCTTATGGTAAGCTGCTATGAGCTTTTGTTGGAAAGGGCATCATATACATTGAATAAATAGATAAGCAAATAAACAAATATTTACTGGATTTTTCACCTTTACATCTAACCATTTAGAATCTGGTAGAGATTTTCAAAGGCACAAGTGGCTGTGAGGTATTTAAGTAGGTAATAACTAGGAATAAGGCTCTTCATTGCTATTTGTGCCTGTTAAACACCACACCCTGGAAACTTTCTGGGACAAGAGCAGTGTCTTTATCTTCCATGACCTGACTGCCATACTTCTGGTTGCTCTCAAACAACATATAGAGGATTTTTTTCCATAAATATGGCATGCATTCGGGAGCTGAAAAGTTGAACTAACTTGGCATCACAATTTGTGACTGCTCAAGAATGAACTAAATAACTGAAACTGGGTGTTCCATAAATTCTAGAGCATAACATGGCAAAATTGAAAACACAGTTCGACCAACAGCTCCACAGCATCCCTTTGCCTCTGGGAAATATTATTACTTCTTCATAATAGGGTTTTACCTAGAGACTCCAATCAGGGATAACTACCCACCCATTTAATGAAAAGAGGGTTGTGGTGGCAGGGTACACCCTCGGGGGCTGGAAGTGCCGGGGGCAGACCCCGATGCTTCCAGAGAGGGGAATAGTGACCCTGACGCCACTGCAAACTTACCGAGGCGGCAGACCGGGGTGGAGAAAGAACTGCGCGAGCCAGCGTTGCGTCGGCTCTTCAAGCAGCTGTTGATTAAGCTGGGTGGCAGCCAGCTGATTACATCAGCTGAAGCCGTCACTGCGGGAGATTCAAAAACCCGGCCAGAAGCTGGATGTGGGGTGGAACCCAGCTGGCAAGACACCGGGCCAGCTGAGGCCCAGGATGCCAGTATGAATGAGCCCTCTGGCTCTGCCCCACAGAGAATGGGCAAAGGCAGCAGTCAGAAGGTGCCTGAGACATTGCAAACTGCAGTCCCAGAGCACGAGAGGCTTGCGGCTGGTGTTTCTCCATAGGGGAATGTGATTGGCCGCATCCACCCTGGCCCTTAAGCACCCATCTGAGGCCTCAGGGCCGGGGTAGGGATCAGGGTGGAACCAAGAGGTCCAAGGAGGTGATCCTCCCCCTCTATGTGACACTGGTCAGGCCGCAGTTGGAGTACTGCGTCCAGTTCTGGGCGCCGCACTTCAGGAGGGATGTGGACAACATGGAGAGGGTCCAGAGGAGGGTCACTCGCATGATGAGGGGGCAGCAGGGCAGGCCCTACGAGGAGAGACTAAGGGACCTGAACTTGTTCAGCCTCCACAAGAGAAGGCTGAGGGGGGATCTAGTGGCCGTTTACAAACTAGTCAGAGGGGACCAACAGGCATTGGGGGAGTCCCTGTTCCCCCGAGCACTACCAGGAATGACAAGAAATAACAGTCACAAGCTGGCAGAGGGTAAATTTAGACCAGATATCAGGAAGCGCTACTTCACTGTCAGGGCAACTAGGATCTGGAACCAACTTCCAAGAGAAGTGGTGCTTGCTCCTACCCTGGGGGTCTTTAAGAGGAGGCTGGATGAACACCTTGCTGGGGTCATTTGTCCCCAGTACTCTTTCCTGCCATGGCAGGGAGTCAGACTTGATGGTCTGTCAAGGTCCCTACTGACCCTACCAACTATGAAACTATGAAGAGGAAGAGGGGCGGGCAGGCTGAATCCCCAAGTCTGCGCCCCATCCACATTCGAGGAGGTGGAGGCACCTCAGGGCAACAAACGGGCTGTAGCCCAGGACTGGTGTGGTAACAAAGATCCACGCAGTTGGCAAGTGGACAGGGTGTAGGGGGGGATGTGGACCCCCAAGAACATCCACAGTGAACCCATGAGTATCCCCGTCTTTGGGTCAGGGGGAAAGAACACCACTGAACCCCTCCTTTTACCATTCTATCAAGTCATAGCAGGCAAGTCAGGGGCCCAGACCAAAGAGTAGGAGGATACTCACAAGTGCCAGCCAGGGGTGCCACAAGGGTCCTTTCCTCAAAGAACTTACCATCTAAGTACATGGCAACAGAGAGTTACAATACAGTGATGGGAAGACACAATGTTACAACAGGGCAATTAGAGTTCCCACAACACATAGTGCACACTTAAGTATGTGGATGGTATTTTACATGAAAAAATCGGATTGTTTCTGGTCAAAGCGTGAACAGTTTGTGATAATTCTTTAAGCTTTACTTTTTTTAAATAGCTCCTGAGGCAGCCATGCTGACAGGGATCTGGGATAAACTGCATCTTTAAGCAATACCCATTTTTTTACTCTAAGGTCCAAAAATCCCAGTAGCTAAATGAATACAGTGAATTTAATTTAGGTGGCTTTCAAAATAGCAAGTGTGTAAGGGAGAGAGGTAGTGAGAAAGAGAATGTGTCTATATGCAGAAGTGAGATATGAGCTAGAATGAAATATGCCCATATAAGCATAGGATGTTTGGTCCAATACCTCTTCAGTTCTGCCTGGCCTGAACTCCACTTTCTTGGAGCTGGGTATATAGTCAATTCCTGGACTGGCAGAGGGTGGATCAGAAAGCCGAGTGGCGCACCACACTGACGTGGGGGTTGACAGGTCTGTACCATGCCGTATAACAGGGATCTCAATGGTACCTGCATTTCAAGTTAGACATATTAGAGCCAGAGTTAGAACACAATTACATGCCAGAAAGTTGCATCTTTGTTGTGTCAATAGGCCACAGCTGACTCCACTCCTATTGCAGGGCAGGATGAAAAGGTACAGCTGGAGTGCCACTACAGCTGCCCTTTCCCCATATAACGTGGGCCCAATCCAAGGCTGAACCATCTCACATCATCACCTGGACAGTGGTATTTCTACCAGAGGCACTTTGGGGTGATGCACAGGATTAAGGAAACTGCTACTGCATCCTTACCTGCATCCTCACTGACCGTGAAACTAGCATTTCCCAGGAACACGGTGGAGGCGTCATTGGGGCCACTGATGAGAACTCTGGCTGAAGCCAGGCTCCCAATGCGCGCATTGTCAGAGGCATCTGCCAGGGCGATCTCGAACTCCTCCTCCTCCTCGTACTCACTGTCATCAATCAGTTTGATGTCACAGGTTGACATGGTGACACCAGGTCCAAAAATGACACGGTTCTCATGCGACATCCCTCTGGATTTAAAGTCAGAGCCAGACTCCAGGGCATAAAGGCTGCTGCCCTTAGCAGATTTGGGAGTAGTGTAGCAAACAGCTGACACAATGCTGCTGGCATCCCCTACAACACAGCATACAAGGGGACAAAAGTATTACTGTAGGCCAGTGGTTCTCAACCTTTTTGGACTTAAGGTAACCATCACTTGATTCAAGGGACGCCTCTGCAAGTTTTGTGAACTGAATGGCACCCAATTTCAAAAACTAATCTATACATTACAGTGCTTATCTCCTTAAACAAGGGCTGGGCACTAAGGGGTGAGGGACTGTCCAGGCAGCACCAAGCCTGAGCCTGGCTTATCTGCCTATCTTCTCACACCTCGAAGCATCCTTCAAAGAACCTGGTAGCACCCCAGGGTATCTTTGGCAACCTCATTGAGAATCTTGGTGTAGTCAAAACTGCATTGGGTTTCATTAGCTGGATGAATTCAGATATCCAAATATCTTCCACTGTAGCTCCTGGCACATGGATACAATATTTAGGAAAGTGGCCTGGGGATATTCCCCCTACTTTGGAACATATCCAGGAAGTGACCTAGCCTTAATGGAAAGGAGCATTTTGAATTTAGCCAGCCTGGTCCTGGATATTCACTCCAAGCTCTGCACTGCTGCCAGGTGTTGCCATTACTCAGAAATCAGTGATCCAGTGGGGCAGGCCTCCTAGCACACACTGCAGTTGTGCTCTGTGTGGTGTTTCATGCCTGGGTTGCAGAGAAGCAGTCAACAGACACAATGGTTTGCTCCTGTTTCAGCTGCCTTTGATTGCTGAACATAACAGAAGGGAGGAAAAAAGGCAACCGGGCTCTCCTCATTCCCCTTTCTCCCTTCTTTTTGGTTTTATTCTTTCCAATGGATAACTCTAGGCTTTTAGAAACACAGGAAGCAGCCCCACCTTTTTCGGGGGGCTTTGATATTTGCCTCCTCAGAGGAAATATTAGCTCGCTTATCTGGGAAAACTAACAAAGGGCAGTCGCACAACAAACCTTAGCACTACTTCCACTTATCTGGTGGAAGGGTGGATCCAGGATCCAATCAGTAATCAAGTGCCATCTGAACACCGCTCATTGCAACATTCTAAAATTATGTTATGAAAATCAAAACCATAGGTAGCAAAACCCTGGATTTTACACACTCCTGTCATACAAAGGCCAGTGACTTGCATTTAAGGTAAATCTTACAGCTGACCACAATTTATAGGTGTGTGCTAGTGTTGCTCAGCATTAAAAGCAGGAGTTTGAGGATTAGGGCTTCCACATTGCACTCTTAGGTGTCACTGATCTATTACAGGACAATTTCATTTGATCTCAATGGGATGGACAGAGTTTTACCTTGTAATGTTGGTTATACATCTAATTTCTCCCTAACCTGTATGTCTCAGCTTACCCATTTGTAAAATGGGGATAAAGAAATATACTAACACTTCAAACTTTAATTAATTACTGTCTGTGCTGACAAATGTGGTAAAAGAGAACATTATTATTATTTTGTTATATTACTGTTATATTATTATATTACTATTATATCATGACATAAAATTATATTATTACAATTAGTATTACTAATAATTCAATTATTATTATTAACAACAAAACAACAACAACAATAATAGTAATAATAATATGGCATTCAATACAACAAACCTTTCCTTTCTATGGGTGCAGACAGGAAGCCAGCACTCTCATTGACATAGTAAGTCTTCCTATCAAACTGTAAAGTGGGCTCATCCTCTGTATCCTTGATGACGACTTTGGCCTGGGTGATCTCGCCCAGCAAAGCATAGGCTGGCATACTGAGCTCAACAGTGAAGCTCTCAATGTTCTCAAAGACGTCATCATCATTTATGAGAACAGTGCAGGCCTTGGTGTCCTCCCGCTCATCAAACTGCACCTGTAGAAAAGGGAAAAACAAGGGGCACATTGTCCATGAACCTCCTTAACTCCATTTTGACAACAACAAATGCACCAAACCTTTCATCATACTCTCAGAACTGCTGTTCCTTTGGTGTTATGTAGAGCTGTATTTAGCTTATATTCATCTGTAACCTAATCCAAACCCACTACATCCCAAGATGAAGGCTCCTGGTGACTTCCAGGGGGCTCTTGGATCATATTTTCAAAGACCTCTTTGGACTGCAGTATCAAAATACTGTCCTTGACCTGACTCTTCATTGCCTTGTGCCTTGTTCAGCCACACACTCATCTGTGCAAATCATGTGCGCCCAATTGTATTAGTGTTTGAACAAGGTATAGCATAGAGATATCAAACTCATTTGGCCTCATGAGCTGGATGAGTGATGTGGGGATTGTCCACAGGCTGGATTGGGCCCTTAGACCCCTCTTCTCCTCCCCCATATACCTGATCTGGTAGCTGCTCCAGCCAGTCCAGGACCTGTGCTGCATGCAGCGCAGATCCCAGAGTGTCCAGAACAGACGCAACATGGGGCACAGTTTAGCTGAAGCAGCAGCCATGCTGCATGTGGTGGCCATCCCAGCCAGACTACACCACAGCTCAGGAACTGCACAACATATGATGCCTACTCCAGCCAGTCCAGGACCCCTGCTGTACATAAGTGCCTGTGAGTGCCATGTGCAGCTGATGTTTTGAACTGGTTCAAGTGGCTGCCACATGCAACGCACATCCCAGAGCTGGCATTGGTGAGGTGCAGTCTGGCCACTGCATGCAGTGCAGCTGCTGCTCCAGCCAGACCATATGGCACTTGTTTTGGCTGCTCTGAGATCAATGCCACACATAGCACGGATCCCAGGTCAGCTGAAGCAGCCACAGGATCAGGTATGTTGGGGAAGGTGAAGGGGCAAGTGTGCTGGATCTAGAAGTGCCCTATTCTGTTCCCCCCGGTGGGTCTGATCAGATCCAGGGGTAGCACCAGGGGCTGGATGGTGGGACTCTGTGGGCTGGATCTGGCCTGAGGGCCATATTTGACACCCCTGGTATAGGACCACACAAGGTGCAAGGCACTAGAGAAGCATGCCCATTTCTGACATAACATTCATTTTGTAAATGAGCCTAAATTTAGAAATTTATGATTCAAAGTGAGGTCTGAGGAGGCATAGATTTTAAGGCCAGCATAGACTGTTAGATCATCTCATTCGAACTCTTGTATCACAAGCCAGGGGACTTCAATTAATAGTGAGTGAAATAACTTGTGTGTGACTAAAGCATACCTTCTAGGAAGGCATTCAACCTTGAAAACCATGGGAAATTGGAGAGTCAACCTTTTCTCACAGTAGACTGTTCCAACAGTTAATTGCTCTCACTGTGATAAATCTGTGTTTTATTTGTCATTTGAATTTGTTAGGCCTTAGCTTCCCACCAGTGGCTCTTGTTATATATCTGTCTCCACTAGATTATAGAGCTTTTCAGTATGTGGTGGTTTCTCCCCATGAAGCAACTTATTCCCCCTGAAGTCACCTTTTGATCTTCTTTTTGAAAAGCTACATGGATTGAGCTACTTGAGGTTCTCACTGTACAAGACTTTTCCAGTCCTCAAATCATTTTTAAGGCTTTTGTCTGTTCGCTTCTCATTTTTTACTTATTTTGCAAAATGAGGATGCTGACATTAGACATAGCATTCTAGTATAAGTCATGTAGAGGGGCAAAATCTCTCCACTCTTACTCACTACTCCCTTCTTTACATATCCAAGGATGTCATTAATCCTTCTTCCTCTCAGTATAGCACTGAACATTGTTTACCCATCATATGTGCCCCTTAGACATTTTCAGAAGCTGGGGTAAATGAATGAAATAGAATCAAGACATCCCAGGGCAACACAGATTAGATTTAAGCAAATAAATAGTCCACTAGCTGCATAAATAACCAATGACTTCGTAGCAGGTCTGAGTCAGATTTTCTTGGTTTTATGGAGGGTTTGTATACTGGCTGCTATAACATGTTGAAGCCATCATGTACCCACTTCTGTTGCTACTCATGCTAGCTAAATTATGCTAGGGTAGATCTGTTAGTACATGGTAAAGTCAAACTTTCATGTTGCTTCATAGATGTACCGAGAGTTTCCTAACCTACCTGGCCTGCATACTCCACATAATCCTGCTGTCCTGGTTCTGAACGGATGCTAGAGCTGGAGGTGGCAGTGCCCTGTTCTGTGCGGCACAGGACAATGGCATATTGGTTGAGGTTTCCGATCCTCTTCACTGTGATGCTGACAGAGCTGGCTTTTTCGCTGATGTTGTAGCTGGAAATGTACAAAACACAAATGCAGGAGAGGTGTTAATGAGTACTGCCTAATGCGGTATTGGAAGGCTCTCAGGTATGCTAGTGATGAGCAGGATATAGGAAGCTGTACAGAAACAGAAGTAAATACCCCATATGCTTGTATTGATACCGAGCAACTACAAATCAAGGCTCAATGATGCTTTCAAGGAAGCAAAGCTGAGTAAAAAGCACAGAGGAACTGGCAACAACATATGGATATTGCTTCTACAGGCCTTAAAATATACAGCCTTCCCAAACTTAGACACATTTTCTATCCCCCACTATATGCATCCTCTACACCTAGCACTTGCACACTAATTCTGAGTAGGCTGAGACTGCTAGTTGCCATTTGGCTTCATTCCAGAATCATTACTGGAGATTGTGCCTTATTGTGTGCATATGTAGTGATAAGTGGCCTTGGTTCTGATGGGGACTTCTGTGTACTACTGAGGTATAATATTAAATTAGGGCAACTTATCCCAACAGGATTGTTTTCATGTTACAGGTCAAGACACATTATGAATGTGTCTTGACTCTCTAGGGAAAACAGAGAGTCAAACTCAAGGGTGGGTCTAAGATGGTTCCAAACCTGCCTTCTCGTGGTGCCTTCAGCTTATTACATCAACTTTAGATAATAACCAATGATGGTAAGTTACATCTCAACCCACACCACCTCTGAACAGGCCCCAACTTGTTAGCAGAGTAGTCTAGGAGGGCTGCTTACCTGGTATATTCAAAGCTGATGAGAGACCACTGGATATGGAAAATGTTGTCACTGACCATATTGGGTTTGCTGTCCTTCACTAGAAACTGAAAGCTGTCCATTGTTTCCTGAATCTTCTCATCATTCAACACGTATTGAACCAGCCCCAGGTTCACATCCTCTGTCAGGAAGAGACTTCCAGTGAGCCAATCCAGAAATTTAACAACAGTTTTAGAAGTGAACAAAATACACATGTGTATACATGCGATCTTGTGGAACTGATCCTGATCATACATTTTATATCTGTTCAACTGCTTGTTATTTAGAGTATGTGCCATTAGGAATCACACTGAAGCTCTTCCTTTCTCCTTTCAAAAACTACTTCATCTTTCTATAACAGCTCCATAAATTTAAAAAAGAATCAAACTTGTAGGATTTTGTTAAAGTACTGTATTTACTCTCAAACCACATGCACCTTTCCCCCCAAAATTAGTCTTCCAAAATTGGAGTATCTTAAGCAGGAAACTGAATTTTTGCTCAGAAAAAAGCACCCCGCTTTGATTCCTTCTCACTCAAAGTTTATAATTAACTGCCAAGCAGAAGTAGTGGCATTTCTATTCAGGCAGCTGAGGGAGTCAGATGACTTAATAGCTCATTGCTCTTCACTCCACAGTTTTTAACAACAGTCACTCCTTTTCAGTGGTCTTGATATTCCAGTAATCATGCTAACCTTTTTCCTGGCAATTTTGCTGTCTGCTACCTGCTCTTGGTCTTTCTTCCCCCATTTCACAGCCCTACAGACTGTTTTCATCTCTTTTCAAATTTGTAGATCTGCTCATGAAGACCAGCCTCCATCAGCAGCTCTAATTTGAGCTTCTGCCTGAACAGAAAAGGGAAGATGAATGAGCTGAAGATTTGGTCCCATCCTTGTTCTATATAGCCATCGCTCTTTTTTTTCTTCATTCAGCCTTCCCCGAAACACAGTACTTTATTTGGGGGCATGTGGTATGCATGCAAGAAAATATGGGTAGTTTCACTTGGGACGATTTTAATACAAATTTGCTTTAAAACCAGCTCACTGAGTTCTGGTCTCTATACTGGCACATCCCTTTTAAAGCTTTCACCTAGCAATGGAAATGATCAGTTGTTCTTGAGCTTTTCCACTGCATTCGCTTCACTGCTTGATCTCACCCATAAAATAATGTTGCTTTTCTTCTTTTGTATTTGCATAGGTTTACTGTATATAAAATGGTATACATGTGTCTCAGCAGGTCTGTAGGAAGAGAGAGAAAAAGAACCCTGCCTATTTATACAGCACCTAGTACAATGGGGCCCTGATCTTGTTTGTATTGAGAGTATTCTCATTCTGACTAAGGGTCAGCTTAGAGCCAACTACCCAAAAGGGAACATGCAGCAAAGGTGCTGGGACTCAGTCTCACAGTTACTGCCCTCCTTCTGCTTTGCTCCTGGGGGAAAGTATGTTGCCATAGCAGTGACTAACTTCCCACCTTGTAGTGCTGGCCCAGCTCTGCTGGCCAGTGAGGCAGCATACGTGTGTGTGTGTGTGTGTGTGTGGAGGGGTGGCGGGCATTCATTCCATTCCCCTGGTAATGGCAATGCACATCTAGGAAGTAGGGCTGTGCTCTGTCTGCCTCAGACCTCAACCCCCTTCTTGCTTCTCTTTGTGGCCAAATGCAACAAAGAGATGGCGGCTTCTAAGGACCCAAGTCCATTATGCAATTGAGACAAGTTCCTAAGTTGCTTAGGCACCTTTGAAAATACCATCCAGTAGCACAATTGAATCCAAAGGGGTCATATTCGCAATGCCATACTTATGCCAAGCTGTCAGGCAGATGCTAAGCAGGAAGTCAGAAACACATCACCCCAGCATAATGACATTCTGCATAGGACAAGAAGGTCCAGCACTAAGAACTTCAGGCTCCATTTTAATTTTTTGCCTTAAGGGTTGCACTTGGATATGTTCTCTCTCTGAAGGTACAAAATACAGGTGGAGAAAACCAATGCAGTTCTTCACTTGCAGCAAGTCCAAGCTATAAGTGTTATAAAATCTCAGAAGCCTTTGAAAGTCCAGCCTCAAAGCAACATAGCTTGAGATGGAAAAAAAATACCATTCTAAATGCATGGGAAAGGATGAGAGAGCACAGCAGAAATCTCCACATCCAGACATGCTGCAGCTGGGGCAACAATTACATTCAGATGCAAAATCCACCCTTTCCGTACCAAATCGAAACAGATTTCTGTGCCAAATCTGGAGCCCCACAACTAGCTCCAAGGTAACTGGGATTTGAATGTGGGTTTAGCTCTATGGGGAAGGTGTTATTTCTTTAAGGAAAAAAAAGGTAAAGTTAATTTGCATTGTAAATACAAACAAGACTCAAGACAGGAAAGAAGGACCTGATTCTCCTTTCCTCACACATGGGAAAGTCAGTAATTGCTCTGAGGTCTGCAGTGTTTACAGAGCAATTTCAGTCCCTCTGTGTAACCTATTTTGACAAGGGAAATGGACATGGATGGCAATAAGGCAGGGGGCAGTGACACGCAGTCCTGATTCCCACTCCCTTACCTTGAGTAAAGGTAGTCACAGCTATTCCTGGTCTCAGCTTGCTCTCCACATAGCCATGCTTGGGGCCAGCTGTTATCTCATAAATCAGCTGCTTGTCCTCTGTGTCGGGATCCATTGTCAATAATTCCTTCTTGGTGATCAGATTGGTTGCCTGGATTAAAGCCACAATGAAGTAGTTAATCTCTTGAGATACTGCATAGCTTGTCTGATTCATGGGCCAATCAAAATAATCCCCCTTTAGAAGAATACTTAGGGAGGGAAGACTTAGGGAATTGACAGACAAATGGCAGCCTGAGACAGACAGAGACAGTAGAGACTGGCCATGTTTTACACAAAGCCTAACAGTACAGAAAGGTTTCTGATTCAGATTCAAATCTGATTACTTTGAAGATGAATTTGTGGTCTGAATAAAGGAAAACTCATAAAGCTGTCATTTTTTGTTTGACTTGGCATGACAAACCTTTCTAGTTTTGTGTAAAAACAATAATTTGACACGTTTAGTTCAAACACAGCTCAAGCTTGCTCATGCCATCATCTAGCTTTGCCACGAAGGCTGAAAACTTTGGCAGGCCTGGTCCACAGTTTGGTTTTAGGAAACATTTGCTAATCCTGTTTCCCTGTCTGCTCATGTATGTATCTTGGTCTCACTCCACTTCCTTAGCACTTCCCAGGTGCAACATGAATGGAAAATAGTGGCAATAAAACCATTTGATGTCTGTATAACGCTTTTATGCTTTTAATAAATCAGGCAGTTTATGTTGAAGTAGCCTCTTAATAATGTGCGACGCAACCCCATTTTGCTACGCATAACCTTGAGTTTCCTCTGTGGTTTAGACCAAGTCCTGAGAAAATTGAAAGGGGTACCAAGCACCACCATCTTACTTGGCAACTTAGCAGAACAAACACATATTAGTTGTATATTATACAACTAATAGAAGGAAATGTTTTCAGTGAAACACCTATTGTAATGGCTCCTTTAAGACCCAAACATTCCAGCCACTGTCATCAGAGTAACATAGAGAAAACATGCCCTCTGCTTTTTTAAGTTTTTTCCCCTGAGACCAAAAGGGAGATACCTGAACTTCTGCTACTTCTATAAGAGAAAGAAATTCTAGGGTATCTGAATTGTCTTATACATCTCTCAGTCCTCCTCTTTCTCTCTTTTTCTCACACAATCAGGCTGAACACAGGAGATTGGTCACCTTGCCATCCATGTACTCCAGCCACTGCAGGCCCAAGTTGGTGACAATTCTGGGTGTCCCATCATCCACGGGGAGAATGTCCACTTTGAACCGCTGGGGTGCCGCTGTCACAATCTGAGCAGGAGTGGATATTAATACATCATGTACATTACTGCTTCAGGTTAAACTCTGAAGATGTTGTTTAGTGATATAATTTTTCCAAATGATCTAGAAGATTCACAAGCAAGGAATAGGGCATATCCCAGGGCCTGAAGAACTTACAAAATAATTGAGACAGAACACAAACAAAGAAGCAGGTGACAAGCATTGTGTCCCAGGAGGGGACTTTCAGAAACATTCAGCAACAGTCTCATTCTAGCCCCAGCTGAAGTCAATGGTAGAACACCCACTGAATTCAAACAGAAGTAGACCACTGCTGAGAGCTGTTGAAACCTCCTCCTAGAGTAATACAAAGGCTTGTTTTATAGTGGGGTTATAAAAATAATAATTATTTCCATTATAGAAACCCCAGTCAGAGAACAGAGCCCAGTTGTGCCAGACATTGCATGAATAGAGAATAACAACAGGGGAAAAAAACCCTAGTACTTCCACTTGGCTGTAACTTCTAAGGTTTCTTTTTAAACATTCCTATCACACTTTATATTGGGAGGTAACTTAGAGGGTTATAAATGTGAGACATGGTAGCAGGAGGGAGCAGGGAAAAGCTGCCAAGACAAAGGCATTGGCTGCAGAAGGGAAGTTGCTCACAGGCCAGGGAATGGAATGTGGCCTGGGCCTAACCCACATGTCATTCAAATCTCCTGGAGTATCATCCCTAGCTTCAGTAGGTTTTAGATCAGTCTCTATAAATGGCATGAAAGCATATATCTGGCACTCTCTATGATCAAGGAATCTGCAACACTGCTTGGCTGTGTTGGATCATGCACGTGCATGCAGCCCTTTGTAGCAATTAGATTATTTTCGCATTTTAAGTCGTCATGCCATGCTACAGAAATGGGGTCAAAGGCAGATATATTGCTATTTACCAGACACTTTCAAGGAGCAACTAACCCCTCTCCTAACCCTAGTTGCCCTTTCCTTAACTGCAACAGAGGATGCTCAGAAATCCATCGACTCCTCTTTTATTTCATATGCTTTTGCATTACCAGTGCCTGAAAGGGAGGGAGGTCCTTTGGGTAAGGCAGGACTGGGACTCAGGAGATACGGTTTGAATCCTAGGTGACTCCTTCCTTCAGAAAAGTTACTTGGGATGCAGCTATGGTTCCATTTGGGGTTTTCAAAAGCACGTACATACTAGGGCTGTGTGAAATTTTGCCAAGTATTTGTTCAAGCTCAAAACAGCAAAATTGAAACATAACAAAAAGTTTTGAAACAGCTTTGAAATGAAATGAGGGCACTCAAAACATTTCGAAAGTTTTGAAATGTTTCAAGTTTTGAAGCAGCTCAATGGTGGGAGGCAGGGGAAAGCCAGGGCTGCACTCTGAGAGGCTCTGCAGCCCCATGGAGCTCAGCCCAGCGGCAGGAGTGCAGTCCCCAACTTCCACTGCCAGGCTGCACTCTGAACAGCTCTGCCATGGCAGCATGAATCTTCCCCAAGCGGCAGGGCAGCCTCCTGTCATCTGGCACGCAGATCCAGGGGCCCACACCCCCAGGAGTCCGGTACTGCCTGGCATCCCTCCTGGGGGTGCAAGCCCCCGGATCTGCACACCAGATGAGACGAGGCTGCCTCTGCCACCTGAGACCAGTGGCAGCATGAATCTTCCCTGGCACTGGTTACGGGCTGCACCCAGCACTGGTCCCAGGTGGCAGGGCAGCCTCCTGTCATCCAGCACACAGATCCAGAGGCCTGCACCCCTGGGAGGAGTCCAGCACAGCCCCACAGCTCTCCCGGGGGTACGAGCCCCCAGATCTGCAAACCGAATGAGAGGAGGCTGTTGCTGCTGCCAAGTGTAAGGAGATTTCCTTTGAACAGTTTGAGGTGCAGTTTCCCAGAAACCCCTGCATCTCTCTCCTTGAAGCTTGACAGGTTTCATGCCCTCAGAAGGGGCTACCATCCCTGCAATTTTCATCTGAATCAGGCAAGAAATGACAAAGTTTTCATGATCCCCCATTATAGCCTATAGGGAAAAACACTGAAACGCGTTGAAACAGTTTTGACGAAACGAAATGGAACAATGCTTCAAAATGAAACGAAACAATGAAATGAAACACTGTCCATTAAAAATGTCAAAATGGATGTCGAAACAAAACAATGGTGTTTTGCACAGCCCTAGTACGTGCCTAATTCTCACCAAGATCAATGGGAGTTAAGTGCCTATATGTTTTGGAAGATCCCACTAGCCTCCCACTGCCTCAGTCTACTATCTGTTCATTGGGGAAAATACTTTTCATTTTTTCTCACGCT